TGGAAGAAGCTTTAAGATGTCATATCATAATATATAAAGCTGTAATTGCACCAATATGGACATACGGTATCGAGCTATGGGCATGTGCGAGCACGTCCAATATAAAAACCATTCAAAGAGCACAGTCTATAAAATACTACCGGCTATAGTGAATGCGCCCTGATATGTCTCCAACGAAACAATTTATCGAGACCTATACATCAAATATGTACAGGAAGTTATTAAGGAGAGAAGTACGAAATAACATCAAAAGAGCGCATACCATCCAAACACTTAATAATAAAAGGTAATAAAATAAATAAAATTCTTAATAAAAGACCTGCTTAAACAAGTTACTGTAAGAAGATTAAAAAAAAAGTGGCCGCAAGATTTAATAAAATAAAAATCAATATATTAATGAAAAGAAATTCCCCACTGGGGGAATTTCTCAAAGCCCTGTACCCATGATCTCATTGAATCCAAGGTTCAAATTGGTTATAAGAAATAAATAAAAAAAAGTATGAAATATTTTTTCACATATTCTAAAACGTTCAAAGTATATATTGAGCCTAAAAAATCTTTTTTGGTTTTTCTAAAAATTTACAGTTACAGTTACAGTTCCAGTGGTGCAACACCTTATATCAAACTAACGAGCATGTAAATGAAATAATAAATTATGTTTATTATGAATTATGAATTATATTTTGGAAGTCGCATTGGAAATATAACTTCAATAACAGGTTATATAATTAATTTTTGTTCCATAATAAATAATCAATATTTTTGAAATACTTTACTAAAACTGTGCACATATTAACTGTTTTGTCAATCAGTAGTTGAAAAAGTATTATTTATATAATAGATAATATAAGAGCATTATCTAAAAAATTATTACAAATGTATGCCTTGATTTAACTATCTGGTTAGTGCAGAATTTATGCTCTCTGTTCAAAAAATAATGAAATCGCATTTATTCTTATAGAATGTTAATTTATTTTTTTAAATTATTAATATATCACATGAATAATCTTGGAAAACAATCGACAAATATTATCAGAACTTTATTGCAAACTTCTTTCCAGAAGAGTTCACTGTCACAGGGATGGCTGAAACCAAATGTTTGCATTATTTCTTCTAACTCCAACTCTTACTTCTCTATGCTTTGCCCGTAAGAAGATTACTTGGTTAGCGATGCTTTTTGTGTTAGTAAGAATTTATATTAGTAAGAATTTATAATAAAAATTTCCGCTCCAGTTAATCTTGTTGGTTATTGTTGAAGTTAGAAACTAAATTCTCTAGAATTTCTATCAATTCTATCTCCTGTTGCTCAATACTAGCTCTCAAAGCGTTTACTTGGTCATCGACCAAGCCCTTGATTTTCTCCGCCATCAGATGCTTGGCCTCAAACTTTTTGTCCTGTTCCTTTATATCATCGCAGGCGTCTAAATATGCATAAACAATATCTAGAAATTGTTTTCTTTTTTTATTTTCTACATCTGTAGTATTCAGGTCCTTGGCGGCCTTTTCAACAGCCGCAGCCAGTACATTTACACGATCCATTTTATTTTTACAATAGTGGTGAAAGCAAGCTATATCAAGAAGAGATTATCAGAAAATATTGTATGAATACGATTTTTATATGAAATACCTTTTATACAAAGTCCTTTTCTTCGTTGTTGACCAAATTCTTACTTTTCTCAGTACTTTTGTTTTCTGCTCTAATTTTGCGCTTGATGGCAATCAAAACTTATAGAACACGACAATCAACGCAGCTAATGTTTTCTGATTTAGCTAAGAAATGTCAAATATCTATTGCACACCTATGCAAATTGAACGGTAGCTGGCATTAATAAATTTCTCTACAATAAATAGAAACAATGGCTAAAGTTTATAGTTGACTGATTTGCACATATATGGAAACATTTATAATCTTAAATATTGCCAAATTTAGTATTATTTCATTAATTCATAGTGCATACCTGTTCCATGCAAACTTTTTTTTTTACAAGTTCAAGGTTATGTTATATTTTGACTAATGATAAAGACGTAAGTGACATAATTATGCATTGTTCACTGTTACTGTTACGTACTTCACACAGTACTCTTAACGATCGTTAGAAATCATATGAAACTCTTGAAACGGAAATTTATAGTAAAATCGATTTGGGATTTGTACGTGATAATTGTTTAATTTAATTGTGCAATAATCAGAAAAAAAAAATGTTTAGGATGCTTTATCTCGTATATAGAGAGTACGGCGCACTTCGTTGTGTTTATGAATGCCAAGCGTACCAACTACCAACATCAGGACGAAAATATTTTAAATTTACGTCGTTTGCATTCTCGTTTGTTGACAGATAATCTAATTGTTTGGTTTCTTAGTGAAATTCTTTGCACAAATAGCTTTTTTTACTGATAAATACTCGCACGCACACACACACACATATATATATATATATATATATATATATATATAAATATTGTATATATTGATTGTATATATTGATTGTATATATTGTATAAGATTGTATATATATATATATATATATATATATATATATATTATGAGTGGATGGAATTTTAAACTAGTTGTAAGTAGCATTTTGCCTTAAAGAAAGTTGTATAGACTTCCCAATTCGTTAACTTAATATCAATTGAGATTCAGCTATTTAAATACAGTTTTTAACAATCATTTTGAAAATAAAATTTTTGCGCTAAAGTTGGATACATACGATATTTAATTGATGTCTTTCAAACTTATAAATTAAATTAATTTCTTTAACACATTTTATTTCGTCCATTTTGTTTCTAAAATGTATTTTATTTAAGTGTGGACGTCAACTGTAATCAAAACTATTTTAAAATGTATTTTAAGTGTGGACGTCAACTGTAATCAAAAGCTACATACAAAACACAGGACGTATTACGCATTTGTTCGGCATAGATCAGTTGGTATGATATCTATCATAACATATTTTAGTTATTATAAATTATATTACACTGGGGATGAGAAAAACCTAGGCACGAAACGTCTGTAAAATTTAAATTATTTTATTCAACTCAATGTTTCAACGTCGAACAAAAAATCCTCGATATATATGTATATATATATATATATATATATATATATATCTATATATATATATATATATATATACGTATATATTGTAGAGCTACGAACAAAGAATCCAAAAAGTAATAAAAAACAAACGGTTTTTTAAAAAAAACATTTCTTCATTTATTTACTGTCGACGTTTCGGAACTAGGTACGTTCCATCTTCTTGACATCTGTCAAGAAACATGATCTTGATAAGATTTAAGCAAACAATATTTTTAAGAAAAGCAAAAGATGATGGATTTTTTTATATAAAATGAATAAAATTATGGAAAAAGTAATGTACAGAAATATGACAATATAATCAAAATGAAAATAATAAAAATAAATGAGTGGATTATATAGCAAAATATTAAAAATGTTAAAAAATCTAAGTTTTAGAAAGATAAAAAAATAATTTTTTTTAACGGAAAAAACAGAATTAATTACCTGTTTGATTAATTATACATTAACACTTTTTCACTAAAAAAGATTTTATCAAAAAAAAAATGATTTTATAAATTTCTTTTCAGGCGAAGAAACAAATTTTGTAATCCAAAATTTCTTTAAATTATGTCTTTTTTGAGTTATATAACTTTTTGTTGTTCGATTTCGTTAAAAAATCCGATTTGGTAAATTTGTTTTCTCGACGTTTTAAGTTACTCTGTATCGAATAAGTCCAAATTTGGAAAAAATGTGCGTTGTCTGTATGTGAGCCGATTTTTGACCCCGAAGCACTAGCGTTTATTGATTTTGCGCCCTGCCAACCCGTTTCTTTCTAATAACCAAAAAAGTGCAAAACTTTTCGTCCACGTTCAAGCCCACAACCTTGAATCGAATATGGATGCTATATATAATTTTTATTCTGCAAATTTAGTAGGTTTATCTAGTTTTATAGAGATCGTAAAAATACAATCATATTTTTACGTAGTTGAATAACGATAAGAATGAAGTGTTCTACAAGATGATGTAATGTACATTCTTCAACCAAGTGCTACCATAACCCTTTATCTTTATGATGAGATTATATTAGATATATTTCTAATATATTAAAGCAATTTTCCCAATGTATATTTTCACTTGATTTCATACGTGAGATCTATTATCTAAAGTAAAACTTGTTATCACTACTGCATGATATCAAGTTGTCTTAACGGGGTATTGAACACGTAACCAGTGGCTGCTATTCCACGTTTTAATCACAGAGTCAGCTCGAATCACAAGATTGTACATTTTCCTGTATATAATGATTTTTGTATATACACTCAACCCTCTGATAAAAGTTGAATTCGTGCGTTCTACTGGGTGAAATATGGAATTTGTTCTATGAGAAACTTGGATATAACGTAAAAATCGTATTGTATGAATATATACTATAATATGTATAGTATAAATCAATATTCACGTTGGGTGGCTACTGTGCTATAAGAAACAATTAATCGTAGAAATTAGTGAAAATTTAAGCATACGTACCGTGTTATGTGGGGACCAATAAAAACAAAAGATTTTTTAAATTATAATTTTTTAAATAAACTTCGGATGGCGTCGTAGTCGAAACGGTAAGCGCTCGACTAGCAGATATAGAATACAAACTCAGATCGAACCTCAGCCAAATAAAAATGATATAGACTTAATATAGGATAATAATATAAGGTATAAAAGAAAAAAAAACAAAGTTAAAAAACTGCAAATAAAGAAATGAAACAAATTATAAGTTGTTTTTATTGAATTAAAGAGTCATTCTAATAAGAACAAACTAAACAACTGTTTAAAATGACTAACATTCTGTGAAAAAGCCATGACACTACTAAAAGCGATGTCGTAGACAGCCATTTGAAATCTTTTTTTCAAACATATCTGGTTCAGAGTCGTCCATAGGTTACGCGGAAGAAACTTATGGGCTGCTCAACGACAAACATTTTTATACCTATATCATCTTTTGCAAAGAAAACTCCGATGACCACAGTTGCTAACTCAGGCGCAGACGATCCCGCTGCCATGAAAGTTGCACCTGCGACGTCCGGAGATAGTTTTAATTCTGAAAACAATAAAATAAATAATTAATATTAAATTCACTAATGTGCAATAATACATGGCCATCGAATTTTTAGTCCAATGGTTTGTGATCCACATGTCACTAATATTTACTTAAAACAAAGAAGTTGTACATAAGAAAGTTAATCAAATAACAATTAGATGTCAATATTAGCTGTGCTCTATAATTTATTTTTTTTTTAACTTCCCGTAGGGCAGTTATAGTAATGAGCAGAAAATCGAAAATGAAAATTTTTGGCATACCTAAGAAAAAATGGATGTGTGTGTGTGTGTTTTTGGCATACCTAAGAAAATTGGATGTGTGTGTGTTTCTGTATGTCCGCATTTTTTCGTCCACGTTTTCGGGTGCACGGATCAACCGATTCAATGGTAAAAAAAACATTCGATTCCTATTGATAGAGAGATGTGCTAATTAGTTTTTGGCAGAAGCAGGACTCCAGCCGTTACGGAGATACGGAACAAAACTTGTAGAAAATACAAATCGAGTTTCTGAGAGAACAGAGTATCTGATTTGAATGATCTAAAAAACATTCGATTTGTAATAATTGGGAAAAGAGGTGATTAGATTTTGGCAAAGGCAGGTCCAGCCATTTCGAAGATACAGAGTTAAATGTGCAAAAAATGGCAATTTTTGAGAGAACCAAGCGTACGATTTGAATGATTCAAAAAACTTTCTGCTTGTTTTTTGACAAAATAATTATTTTTGGGAAAAAAAATGTTTCAATTTTTTTATACCGAAAATAATTCAGGTTTTAATTTTAATTTTGACTGAAGTTCTAGTATACCTTTGAACAAATAATTTCAAATTTGCAATTCAGTTTTTATAATTCTTATAAATATTAGACAAGGTTACAATATTTATAATAATTTTGTTGAAAACATTTAATATTTCTCGAACATTTCGTTACGGTACGGGAAGTAGCAGCAATTTGCCTTAAGGCACGATGCCATACACTACTAGTTATATATATGATGAGTTCCTTTAGCTTTTTCTTTAATAGTCTTTCACCTTTTTTAAATCTGATGGACTACTTAAGAACAGCTCTGTTTAATAAGGCACATTTAGTATGATTTAGTATCAAACAAATTCAAATTATTATAAGTTAGAATGAAATTATTAAGATAACTTTCAATTAAATTAACTATAATCATGAAATGTACCGTTGGATGGTAAATTTATTTTGATAAAAAGTAATATAACAAGGAAATTCATATCATATTAATACCGATGATAGTAATTTAAACATTGCAGAAATGAACTCAATATTCCGGATATTGTAAATCAAATGTAATATGATGATCAATATATTTATATATATATATATATATATATATATATATATATATATTAGTGATGGGCTTATGATATCAGAAGCCGGATCGACTCGTATTTGACTCCGCTTTAGGGAGGAGTTATTTCCGCTTAACAACTCCACGACTCCGACAACTTTGACAAATGTGTTCTATAGTGCGTTGTTTATGTATCTAAGGATTTGTCAAATCCCATTTAATTTTCTGAAATGAAATTTTATAAATAAAATAAAATAAAAAAATATCAATAAAATATTTTTCCTAAAAAATTCACAAATAAATGACGAGTTGTAAAATTTTTCGACCACATGATCGACTCAATGACTCGCAATTTTAACAGTGTTGACCAAAGTAAAAACGCAAAACTTGAGAATCAAATTCAATTTCATTATTTTCTTTTGATGAGAAAATAATTGATTTTTTGGATTAATTTTATATAAAAATAATGTAGTAAACTTTGTAATAAAAGCAAAACATTTATCATAAAATATTTTCACTAAATAATAATACTTCTGCTTTCTGATTTTTCTTCTGCCATTTCCATTCGAGAATTAATATTATATTGGGTAGTTCGATTACCATATTATTACTTTTACACAATTATATAATTCACTATATATATATATATATATATATATATATATATGAATATATATATATATATATATATATATGAATATATATATATATATATATATATGAATATATATATATATATATATGAATATATATATATATATATATATATATATATATATGAATATGATTATTTTTTTGGAGGGCGTACCATCAAGTAAAAAAAATAAATAAAGTCAAGATTTTTAAAACATCTTTATTTTTTCTATACGTTTCGATGTAAAATTCTACGTCATCATCAGTGGTTCTACAATGAAAACAGAAACAAGTTACGTGAACTTCCCGATTTGTGTAAATAATCGACTTAATTCATGATAGATAAATTAATTTATGAGTAGTTAAAAGTATTCGAAGTGGATTTATTACACATTATTGAAAATCGAACACGTCAACCCGGTCGGAGTATTTTTTAAAAGCAAATTTTTAAAAATCAATAATTTTAATAATTCAGCCAGTTTTTTGTAGGACTCTAATTGTTTAGTATGTTCATTAAGACCAATCATTTATCGTTATACCAGGTAAATCATCTAATTTTAATTTTAACAAATGTCAAATAACTACTCACTTTCTCAAACTTTGATGAATTTTTAAAATTAAACTACTTATCGTAAGGCCGTAATATTTCAGTAAGTTCTATAAGACCATGATATATATCGCCCAAAAAAGTTCCATGAAAATCGGCTTAAATTTTTTTTCAACAGTTAATTACAAGAAAACGGCTCGGTAGATTTTCACCTAAAACTAATCAGTATCATTCCCAACTAATATCTTTCGAACAGTTTTTGATTTTTTAAAATCGGTTCGGTAGTATTAGCTTAAATGTGAACGAAAGGTTTAACACTTTTTTCCAAATTACAAAGAAACGGCTCGGCCGATCGTCGCACAAACGATAATCCTCTTCGAGATACATCAAATGGTTTTTAAATTTCTGAAATCGGTTCAGGCGTTTTTGAGCAAGCGTCGATGAAAGTTGTAATTTTGACAAATGCCAAAAAGACCATACTAATTTTTGCAAACTTTGACTGATTTTTAAAGCTAAACGAGTTGTCGTAGGGCCGTAATATTTTAGTATGATCTAGAAGACTATGGTATCTACCGTCGAAAAAATAATAATAAAAATCGACGGAAAAAAATTTTTAACACCTTATTACAAGAAAACGGCCCGGCCGATCTCTACCAAAAACTAATCAGGTCGATTCCCAACTAATATCTTTCGATCGATTTTTGAATTTTCAAAATCGATTCAGAATTGCGGGCTAAAACGTGGACGAAAAACTTTTCACTTTTCTGCTATTTACGAAGAAACAGCTTTTCCGATCGTCGCACAAAACTGACAAACAATAGTCCTCATCGAGATACATCGAATGGCTTTTAAATTTTTTAAATCGGTCCAGCCGTTTTTGAGAAAAAAATCAAAAAATAAAAAATCTGTTGGTGCACACGCACACACACACATACTTTTTCCAAATTTGGTCTCATTCAATTCAGAATGACTTGAAACGTCGAGAGAACATAAAATTATCGAATCGGATTTTCTGATGAAAACATAAACTTCTCCTTCGGGAAGTTAAAAATAACGTTAAAAACGAAATATAAACAGTACAAGAATAAAAAAGAAAGATTTAACTAAAAATATAGACTAATTATATCTAAATCTTAAATTAAGAAGAATTACAGAAAGCATTATTTACTTGAAATTCTTAGATTATCACTTATACATATTAGCAACACATAACTTGTGAATAATTAATAATAGGAAACAAGCACTAAATATCAGAGATTTCTTATTTAAAAAAAAAAAAAAATATTATCCTAAGCAGCTAAACGGCTCATCCGAGGCACCTTTCATTTCTGAGAGAATTGTGAAGTGCGAAACAAGGATTTTTGGGAAACATGTGTTTGTTGTAAGCCGTACAGCGATATATGCAAATGTGTGTGATAGTGTTGAGCATAGGTATTTAATACAAATTGGGAAATATTATTTAGAACATATTGGTTATTTTCGCAGATCCTTGTTTCGCACTTTACAATTCTTTCAGAAATGAAATGTGCCTCGGATGAGCGCCCGCTTAGGATAATATTTTATTTTATTATTTTTTAAATCACTGACATTTAGTGCTTGTTTCCTATTAATAATTATTTACAAGTGATGTAATGCTAATATGTACCACTGATGATGACGTAGAATTTTACATCGAAACGTATGGAAAAAATAAAGATGTTTTAAAAATCTTTACTTTATTTTAATTACAACACCCTGATTTTAATTTAAACACCTTCAACATATATATTCATATATATATATATCTACATATATGTATATATATATCTACATATATATATATATATATATATATATATATATATATATACGAGTATATATATATATCCCAGTGAATAAGTGGTTAACTCAATTTTTGCTATTTTGCAAAGCTTGATTTTAAAGTTCTATTACTCGTGTAATATCGCGTATACAAAATGAATGGTTTATTTTTTATATAAAGTGCTTCATTATCTTTTGTTCCTAACCAATAGTTTATCAATTTATTAATTATTTCAGGGAAATAGTTAATACCGCGATTTAAAACATTTTTGACAAAATTTGACTTAACCACTTATGCACTGGGATGGAATATATATATATATATATATATATATATATATATATATATAATTAACTGCCAATTCATTGAATTAGAAATAATGAATTGATGTTCACTTCTTTATTTATAAGTTTCGACAGCAGTTATGTGCTATCATTAGGAAAAAAACAGGAAAAACAAAGCACAAAACTTAAATAATATTTAAAAACAGAAAAATTAAATTAAGAATAAACATCGAAATATTATTATTATAAATTTACTTTTTCATAGCTTGCATAGAATGTTGTTTATTCCTGGAAATTTAAAATTTATCTATGTACATATATACTGCGTATTCCTTGTATCTATCGAACTCATAAATTAGGCGAACGGTTTATCCTCTATATTCTATAGTAAATTATTAATGGATCAGAAATATACATGTTTACACTCA